TTCGGTACACCCCAGAACCTCCCCACAAACCACCTGCAGAGCTTCCCCCTGAGCCCAAGAACCCCCAAACAGCCGCGATTCCCCTCAAAGCGCTTTGTCTCCGACCCTGCAAAACCCTCTCAAGGTCTGACCCTTTCCTTCCCTGCCCACCTCTTCTTGCCGGGGTCCCTCTTCTCGCCGGGCTCCTTCCACCCCCGCCCCGACTTGGGCCTGCCCCGCGGGATCGCTGCCGCCGCTTCCTTTCGCTTCTTGACGGCTTTCCGACGCCGCCGGGCCGGGGCCGGGGCCGGGGTGGCCCCGTTGGGCTCCTCGGGGGCCGGGGTTTCCCTTCTCTCCCCCTCCATTCTCCACGCGGCCCTTCCCCGACGACGCCGTGCGATGACGTCAAAGACGCACAGCAGCGCGCATGCTCAGAGAGGAAGGGCGGTGACGCCGAATCCTCCCACCGGACCACCATTTTAGTGTCGGGCAACACGTCCCACCTTCCCCATGGCGGCGGGGAGGCCGCCATCTTTGTGCAGGGCAGATCGTCGCACGGTGCCCGGTGCTCTCCATCCCCACCCCCTTCCCTAATTCCCGCCCGGTGCAAGGCACTGGAGAGACGCGTGGCCTGAGCTGGGGGGAGAGGCCTTTATTGAGGCCTTCCCACAGAGGGGAGTGGGGCCAGGCCCAGGCCTAGGAAGGGGGCACAGAAAGCCCTCAGGCTTCATCCAGCTCCACCGTCAGGCACCAGGGAGGCCCCTCCAGGCTCCAGCATCTTGGCTGCAGTGGGACTGGAACTTGCTGTGGTTCCTAACAGGAGACTTGGCCATGGCTACAGCACCTGGGGGAGAAAAAAGGGAGAAATTCCATTTTAGGGATCATGGAGAGAGAACCTGGAGGCCAGCAGCTCGGAGCAGCCCCTCAGGGGAAAGGAGGGGTTTGGCAATGCTGCCCTGCTCCTGCCAAAACGTTGGAGCTGGCTCCCCAGGGCTCTGGCTCTGGTCCCCCTCACCATGCGGGTGTAGTTGTGCTGCTTGATGGCGTTGTAGCCGAAGGCCAGGGCCGCCACCGCCACGCAGAACTCCAGGAGGCACAGGATGACGAATATGCAGTCCAGTCCGTAGCTCAGCATCTGCGAGGAGGAGAGTGGAAGGGCCCAGTGGGTCCCACTCGCTGGCAGTGCCCCTCGTTCCCCTCCCCCGTGCGGCAGCCACCCTGTTTGCTCCTCCTGAGCATGGGAGGCTCAGCTCCAGCACCAGAGTTGGACCGGGAGGCTCTACCTTGCTCTCAGCATTGAAGCACCACTCGGGTTTCACCCGGAACAGCGTGTTGGTCTCGCAGCCGGGGATGCTGTGAGTGATGGCCGTGGCATGGATGAGAGTGGCCACCAGTGTGCTCAGGATGATCCCTGTGTTGACGATGCAGCAGACCTTCACCTGAGCGGGTCACCTCACGTCAGCCGTCAGCAGCTCTGTCCCTTCTGCTCCCACCAGGAGATGTGCAAGTGGCAGCACGATGCCCACCCTGCCAGAGACCCCCATGAGGGGCCACTGCGCCAAGGGAGAGGCTGCTTGGGGCTTTCTGAGCTGCCTGAGCAGGGGCACCTCCAAGCTGGATTATTCAACTCGAATCAAATATATTCCTGCAGAAGCCACCCGGGGCAGCCACCCTCCATGACACCTTTTCTCCCCATCATCCAAGAATTGCTTCACCAGGCCCCAAGCATCTTTCAGAGGCCCTGAGGCGGGAAGGGTGGCCCACCCTCTGGTCAATGGAGAGAGACCAGGGCACCTCACAAGGGTGAGACGAGCTCTAGGTGCTTCGCTGGAGACCCTGCGGGGTGAATCCCTGCCACTGGAAGGGGCAGAAGTCGCAACAGGAGGGAATGCTTTGTCCCTCCCAGCCTGGCCACAGGGGACCCCCTTACCAGCAAGATGTTGTCTCTTTTTTCACTTTCCACTAGCAGAGAGCCTGAGACCAGGAGCTGCTCCAAAAACAGAGGAAGGAGGGCATCAGCGGCAAGGCAGCCCTCCCTGACACCCATCCTGCATGTCCCAGCACCCCTCTGGCTGCAATTCGGTGTTCAGGGCTGCACACACACCTCCTCCATCCCCAGAGGGAACAGCCAGAAGATGTGGGTGTAAGAGGAGACCCTAATGATGTGGGGATCTTGCCCACAAGGTCAAGACACATCCCAGCTTACCAGGAGCCCAAGCCAGAAGAGGATCCCGCTGGCCACAGGGAGGGAAGGGTTCCCGTGCTCTGACACCGTCAGGATGATCCCGAAGCAGATGTGGATGATCCCGGTGAAGATGTGGATGGTCTGAGGAAGGAGGGGGGAGAGGGAGCCCCCCCCCTTCCATTACTCTTGGCCCAAAGCTTTGTCTGTCTGCCAGCACCGGCAGAGGATGGATATCGCCAACGGATATCACCGTCGCTGTTAACTGTGTCCCACCCCAATCCCGCTGTCACACCACATCCTGGTTGCACCCTATAGTGCCAAAAAGGGACTTAGGACCCCACATGTCACCTCTGTCCTAGCCAAGGAGGAGCTCAGTCCCCACAGTGCCCTGTCCCCCCAGGTCACCGCGTCTTACCCCCAGCGCCTTGGGCTGAGCCTTTCTGAAGCCCGTGACTCGAAATGACGACACGGCGTGCGTGGGTGGCCTGGAGCCGGATGCCAGCTGGGCCGCTCGGGGGTCTGTGGCGGGGATGACCTCCGTGATGATCCTCACGCCCCCTGAATCGGTCACTGTGGTAGCTGCCATCGCCTGTGGCAGAGAGGGGCTGGGGAGCTGAAGGACCAGGCCAGTTCCCACCCTGCTGAGGACCAGTGTGTGGCACGTGTCCCCGTGAGCGGCGACACGAGAAACCCTGGCATCCTCCTATGAGAAGGTCTCACACCTCGCTCCCCACCCAGGTACCTCCTTCAGCCTGGGCTTGCCCTCCTCCTTCTTCTCCTCCTCCTCTTCCTCCCCACAGCCACTGTTAGTGGTTCCTTCACCGTCCGAATCTCCCCGGACAGGGACGCGGTGCCCTTTGCTCTCTGCGGGAAGTTTGTTCATGGAAATCTCGTCAGGTTTCTCTTGCTCAACGAGGTGGCTTTGCCAACAGAGAGGGAAGAGCCAAAAACCCTGCACGCACAAGGTGGGGGGAAATGGAGGCAGAGAGAGGGGCTTTGCAAGCCCAAGGTGGGCACCCCTGAGGAGGAGGCGCTTGAGGTGCTCCAAGGAGGAGACTCCCAACCTGCCCCGTCCTGGGCAAGTCGCCTCCATCCCCGGTTGTCCTAACGAGGTGCTCACAGATTAATTTGGCTGCCCTCATTAGGGCTGCTAGAAGACAGCCAGCCCTGGCAGGTTCCTTTCCGGGAAGAAAAAGGAATGAAACAACAAGGCACCAACTTTATAAACGCCGTTAGCCTATAAAGGTCCCAAGGAAACTCCTTTATTGCCTTTTTATTTTCTTTGGGGTTCTCCTGCCTTCACAATTGCCTTGATGCTGTGGGTCTGTCCCCGCTGAGGACAGCCCACCCGCAGGAGTGAGCCGGGGGACCCACGACGGCCATAGCGTGCAGTGCCAGACGGCTCCAGCGTGGGCCCGGCGAGAGCCAACGGGAAAGGAGCTGCGGTTGTTTCCGCTAGGAAATGAGAGCTCAGCCTGGGAACGGAGCCACCGCACATGGCGAGAAGCTCCCGAGGGGGACGCATGGAGGCCCCTTCCTCCCCCCGCCGGCCACCGCGCTCCAGGTCTGCCAGAAAACAGCTGTTTCCTTCATGGCTGCCGCCCCCCTCTGCTCGCCAGGAGAGCTGGGGTCCACTACGCCGCTCTACGAGGACCCCCCCCGGTTTCCTGGGTGTTCAGTGGGTGCAGGGTAGGATGCTGGGTGCTGGCCACATCCCCTCTCATCCTCATCCTCCCCTGTGGTAGGTGAAGTCCCCAGCGCTGGGTGCTGCAGGGGGCTCTGGCTCAGGGACTGCACCTGGGAACAAAGCCCCCGGTTCCCAGGGGGCTGCTGTGCAGGAGGACGGGACCAGGTTTGACACAACCCCCACCCATGAGACTGGACACGGAGATGGTTTGGGAGGGCGCAGCACTGGTGGACGTGGCTCTGGGACCCCACTTGGGCTTCTCCTGCCCTTGGAGGCTGCAGATGTCTGACCACTGCCCGAGGCTTTGCCCGAGCCGTAACGGGAATGTTTAGGCACGGGGCTCTGGCATCTCTCACGCCAGGGCTGGCTTCACGCCGCATTGGTGGCCATGGGCATCACCAGCATTAGGGACCCCAGCACCCCTGCCTCTGCCCAAGCCTCTCAACATAGATCCAGGGAGGGCCAGGACCCTCCACAGCCCAGTTCCAGTTGAGCAGGATTTTAGAAGCAGGTGGAGCAACTTTTGGGAAGTGCTTTTTCCTTTCCTTTGGCCCTAGAGGGAGCTGAGATGCTTGGTTTGGAGGCACACGGCTTCCAGAGCGCAGCAGAGGCCTCCAGAGCTGAGGCCAGCGGTGGGGTGCGATCCCCGGCAAGGGGTGAGCAGCAGCAGCCCCCCCTTCCCAGGGGAAACCAGGGGATCAATGGTGCCAAACCTGAGCACAGGGCATGGAAAGCGGCCACGTCCTTGGCTCTTGAGTTTACGGAAATGTTGGAGTGGAGCCGTGTGGCCACAT